TGATCGCCGGGCTCTGCATGCTGAAGCTCTACCAGAAGCGGCACCCGGACATCAATGCCAGTGCCTATAGCGCCTATGCCTGCTTGGCCATTGTTATCTTCTTCTCTGTGGTGGGCGTGGTGAGGCCCTGACCTGCTCTGCTCACCCTGTAGGAAAGGTGCACGGCACGTCCACACACATGGACATGCACAACCCCCTCCTGCACCTTCAGCAGGAGAGATCCCTGCTCCTTCCCTGAGCTGCCTTCCCTGGCTCCTCAGAGAGCACTGGCCTGGCTGAGCAACAGCCTGGTTCCTCCGGAGGAAGGGTGGGCTGAGGGAGCAGCTTTCTTCAGTGCCTCTTCAGCCCTGCCCTTGGTGGCCTCTGGCAGGTTTTCGGCAAGGGAAACACAGCGTTCTGGATTGTCTTCTCGGTCATTCACATCATTGCCACCCTGCTCCTCAGCATACAGCTCTATTACATGGGCCGCTGGAAGCTGGGTGAGGGCATGCCCAGGGCATGGGGCTGGGATTTGCTGGGCCTCATGGAATGAGTGGAATGTGGCCTTGGGGTCCTGGGTTTCAGGAGACTCAGGTTCTCATGGGGGGGGGGCTCTCCTGGGGGGCCAGGAGGAATCACTGATGAGGAATTAGGTGAGGCCTGCTCTCAGCTGGTGCAGGCTGGGGACAGGAAAGGAGCATACTTTCTCTCTGCAGACTCAGGAGTTGGCCGTCGGGTCCTCCATGTGCTGTACACGGACTGCATCCGGCAGTGTAGTGGGCCCCTCTACACGGTATCTGCCAGCTCCCCAGCCCCTGTTCTTCCACCTGCTCTTCCCTCTGGAGGGGGTGGTGGTAAAGCTGAGGGCCCAGGGTGGGGGCAACCAGCTGACTTGGGCCTTCATACTTCTCTCCCTGTGTTTCTTCTCCTCTCAGTCCTTGTGTCTCTGCTTCCCTCCAGGACCGAATGGTGCTGCTGGTCATGGGCAACATTATCAACTGGTCACTGTGAGTCTCCGCACTGTCTATGATAGCTTGGCTAGGTGGACAGCTGGAAACTTGGCCAGCCACTGGCTGCCTTGGGGACCACAGACAAATTCTAAGCTTTGAGCGTGAGAAATGGGGGCTGACAGGAGAGGTTGTTGGCACCTGGGGTTCTAGAATCTTCTGTAGGCCTCTGAAACAGCTGCAATCATAATAAACCATTGGCTTGGCGTGAGGTCAGGCCCTTCCTGCCCTTGCCCTCCCTTGCTTCACCAGCCTCCCTCGCACTTGCCAGGGCTGCCTACGGACTCATCATGCGCCCTAATGATTTTGCATCCTACCTGTTGGCCATCGGCATCTGCAACCTGCTGCTTTACTTTGCCTTCTACATCATTATGAAGGTGAGTGGGGATGGTTGAGCGAGCCTGCTCTCTGCCTTTTGGGAAAAGAGATGAGCACAGCCCACCTGGGGCAGCACTGGGACAGAATTTTCCCGTCCATCTGTCTATGCCAGTGAGGTTTGAGGAGGGGAGAGGCTGATGTCTCTTGCAGGTATCCCCTGGGAACCAACTATATCCTAAGAGCCTCTCACCGTGCACCTTCAGATTCTAAGAATGGCCCATGAAATTGGTAGCACTGCAGGCCATAGTTGGTAAGAGCCTCATTCAGTACAGAACAGATTGAAGAGGCAGGACCCACTGAGTCTGTGGCAGGCTTGAGTGTCTGAGAGCCAGTTGTTTCTCATGGGACCCTCATGCCATCCAATAGAGAGGAGACCCCTGCACAGGGAGAGCACCCTGGCCAGTACACCCACCAGCGCAGGATTCTGGGCACATGGAGGCTCAGCCAGGGTGAACATCAGCAGTGAGGACACTTGGCTGCTAGTGTGGGGACAAGATGAAGGATGTAACTATATGAGGTGATAGTACGAATTCAAGAAGACTTCCCGAAAGCCTGGGAAGGCACCAGGAGAGCGGCATCGGGGGCAGGCCAGGAAGTGAGTTGGGTGAAGCCTGGCCCTCAGGCTGCTCTCTCCTTCCCCACCCTGACTCCCAGCTCCGGAGCGGAGAAAGGATCAAGCTCATCCCAATGCTCTGCATCATCTGTACTTCAGTGGTCTGGGGCTTTGCACTCTTCTTCTTCTTCCAGGGACTCAGCACCTGGCAGGTGAGCAGTCAGCCTGTTGAGTGTGTCGGGGACTCACCTACAGGCTCATCTTGAGCCAACATGTGGCCCATTTTCTTTCCAAACACCATCTGTGAGTGCTCCCTGGGCCAGCACTTTTACAGCCACTGTCTTGTTTAATCCTCCTACCATTCAACTTGCATGGAGGCAGCTGAGGCTCAGGGATGCTAAGGCACCTGCCCAAGGATGCACGTGGCATGGCTGTGACTTGAAGCCAGAGATGTCAGGCTCTGTCTTCTGCCTCCTAGGGCACCTGCCATGGATCAGGTTTCAGTCCTGGGATCCAAACTAAGTCTGGTATGGGCTTTGCCTTTGGGCACTTATAATCTAGTTCAAGAGAGGGACTGTTGGTCCCTGGCTCTCAGTCTACAATATAATACACCAGATAAAGGTAAAGGCAAGATGGGCAAGGGAATGTCCAGAAGGGCAGTGGACAGAGGCCCCTGTGAGTTAGCCGGTCCAGGGAAAGTTCCTGGAAGAGGCAGGTCTTGCTGTTGGCCTTAAAGGCCTTGGGTGATGGGGAAGGTCCTCTGGCCCAGAGATGCACTGACCTGTGTAATGGTACAGAGGCAGAACTAGATGGGGAAGACTTGGGACTCAAGTCTGAATGTACTAATTTGGGAGCTAGGTGAAGACCGTGAGCTCCTTGAGGGCAGGGAAGGTGTTTTGTGACCTTAGCATGTGGCACAGATCTCCCCCAGATACAGAGTGCAGTCCAGCCAGTGTTTGTTGGGTAGAAGTCATAGACCTTGAGTGCCACAGGTCATGGCTGCTGTTGGGCTTGGGAAGGGCTGTGTGACCCGACAGTTGTACTTGGGAAGGAAAATAAGCCTGAAGGAGCCCTGGAGGCCTGATCAGAACAGAGGGCAGAGTCCAAGGCAGGGACTGAGTTAGGAAGCTTTGTGGCCTTCTGGTGTCTCAAGGTCATGACAGCCTTCTGCTGTCACATCAAGGGAAGAAGAATCTGAGGGGAGGAAGGTCTGAGTGAAAGAAAGGAGAGGGCAGAACAGGGGGAATTTGTAACAAAAGCCAGTTACACCTCCCTCATGTGGGAGATGAGGACTAGGGGTGCAGCAGAAAGTGTCCTGCCACTTGGGGCTGGGAACAGGGAGAGGCCTGGAGGTAGAGCCGGTGCCAGGGCGGTGTCAGCAGGCAGCTCTCCCTGTTTCTGCCTAGAAAACCCCTGCAGAGTCAAGGGAGCACAACCGGGACTGCATCCTCCTTGACTTCTTTGATGACCATGACATCTGGCACTTCCTCTCCTCCATCGCTATGTTTGGGTCATTCCTGGTATGAGACTCTCCTGGCTGAGTGGGGAGGGTGGGGTGCAGACACAGACCGCCCCCTTCCCTGTGCTTAACTTGACATCCACCCACCAGGTGTTGCTGACACTGGATGATGACCTGGACACCGTGCAGCGGGACAAGATCTATGTCTTCTAGTGGAAGCCAGGCCCCTTGCTTCACTCATGGGGCCCTGAGCTCCTCTGCCTCACTGCTGGAGTCTTTGGCACCAGGGGTGTGAGTCCCAGCCCTGCTACCCAGTGCTGGGTGGCAGAGGGACACCAAGGCCTAGTCCAGACTTGGCCCCGGACAGTCATGGTGGCCTTGAGCCTTGCAGCTGGCCTCTGCAAGGGAGCAGGGCTGCTCACCTAAAATCCCAGCCATTGGCCAAATTGCTGCTTTCTTATCAGTGTTGGGGCCTTCCAAGGTCCCTGTCCTTGGTTTTCCATTTGTCCCTCTGCAGGAGAAAGGGGGGAAGTATTGCCCTGCCCATCTCATGCCTTGAATTCTACCTTTCCTTCCCTTCTCCCCCAGCCTGTGGCCCAGAGCCCTTCATTCCTCAGTCTGGGGCCTGATTCTTTGGCCTGTACTAAGGCCCCTCTTCTCTTTGGGGTCATACCGGCCTATCATCACTGCCTACTCTGGTCAGCCAAAATAGATGGGGTAAAGGATTTGGGGGACTGGACAGGCTTATGGTGCTATGACCTGCAAAGGGCCCTGGCTGGCTCTCTGGCAGTGGAGGTCGGTTTATATGTAAGAACTGTCTTGGATTTCAGAGGCTGAATTCAGAGGTCACTCTCCTATTCCATCAGCCCCCAGACTGATTAGCCCTAGGATTGGAAAGAAAAAGCAACTCACCCTCTTCCTTCCTTTCTCTTTCCAGGCCCTTATTCCTGCCAAGCCCCAGCTGGGGGCCTTTCAGTGCCATTGACATTGCCCAAGAATGTCCAGGGGCAAAGGAGGGAGGCTACAAAGAGCACAGCCCATCCTGCCTCCTCCACCATCACGGGAGCCCCAGTGCCTATCATAGAAAGGGGCTCGAGGAAGGGACATGACATTTCCCTCTCTGTCCCTTATCCCAGCCTCACTCTAGGGCCCAGGGCTGGCTCCTGAGTTCTAGCCAGTCTTCAGCCCAGTTCTGTGTTGGTCACACCTGCGTCCATATGAAGCTTGAAGTTTACACTGAGTGGCCCCAGCTTGGGGACCCCTGGTAGCTCTGGTCCTGGGGTCCCCTTTGCCCTACCTGGTCCATTTTAGATGCAGAGGTTGGGAGGTCAGGCTAGGCCTCTGCCTTGCAGATGGGAATGTGTTTTACTCTCCCCGGCTTGTTTTCCCAGCCCTCCCTGGGGCTGGGGAGAGGAGGTGGGTCTGGATCTTCCTACAGAACTCCGTTTAAATGTCTGTTTCCCTGCTATGGTTGCATTTCTGTTTTCTATGAATGAGTCTGCATTCAATTAAACAACAGTTCTCGGACCCTGTTTGCTGCTCTTCTGGGTGTAGATGTTGAGAATGTGGGGTCGGGCAGGGGTCTTCCATTTTCCAGTTCTTCTGGTCTGACTTTTCTGAGTCCCAGTCCCATTGGGAACAACAGTTCTTTGATTCCCTTGTGTTTTTCCTCTCCTTTGAGTAGTGGTGCCCAGTAAATGTTTATGAGAGGCCTGCTCTATGCCAGGCACTGTTCTTGGCAGAGAGGGTAGCATAGTGAAGAAACCTTAGCCGTGCCATCTGATCAGAGGTGCTCACCCCTTCTGGCAGGTGGCAGTGACTTCTGCCCACCTGATCCAGTCCGGCAGCTTTACTTCTTACCCGAGCCCTTCCTAGCTTGACAGGCTGCAGGCACAGTGCTCCCTGACATGGCTTTAAAGGACAGGAATATGCAGGTCAAGGCTGGAGTGGTGCTGGGGAAACACAGCGTGGTGGCTAGTGGGTGCGTGGATGACAGGCTCTAAGAGCAGGGAGTTTTGAAAGGGACCTGGAAGGTTGACGTGTATTACAACAGGCTAAGGAGGATAAGATGCAGGGGATAATGGAGCTGGTGAATTTTCAAGACACAAGCAGAGGTCCACAGGCTGCTCTCTAGCTGATCCCCAGTTCCTCTTCTTGCTCTTCCTTGATGATGCCACTAGGAAGCACTGTAGCTCCATGCACCACTAGCCTGTGGGGCATTGCTGGGGAGATTCTGTTGAGTGCATGCATGGTGGAAAGGGTTAGCTTCTTCCTGCCAGGCTGTCCTAGGATGATGGGGGTGGAGGGAGTGTGCCTCAGAGGGCAGCCCAGAGACCCATCTGAAAGTCTCTTACCTTTGTTACCTCTTTTTATCCCTTCCTGAGACCCCAGAGCCAGGTACAAGTAATGTACCAGTGGGTCTCCTTTCTGGAGTGAGGGACTCTGTTTTCAGGATAAGTAGGGACTGTTCCTAAAGGGAAGGAGGACTGATTGCAGCCTTTGAGCCTCTTACCCCAGTGTTGGTGTCTCAGGCCCTGCCACGCCTTAGAGATCCTCTAGATGGGGACCAGGGTCGACTGAGCTGCTGCTGAAGCCTTTATTCTCACCCCCAACTAAAGGTAACTCAAAACTCCCCAACTGAAAGTTCTCAAACCAATCTGGGTGGTAGAGCTGAAACAGTGGGTCTGACAGCCTCTCCAGCTCTCACGTGGGTCTGCGGGGATGATCATTTCTACCACTCACAACTCACCTTGTGGCCTTGGGTAAGATGCACTCTTAGCCTCAGTTTCCTCAGCTGTAAAATGGGGGTGGTAATTAAGCTCTCATAGTGCAGCTGTGAATATTAAATGAGAGCATTTGTAAAGTGTCTGGCTGGTAGTCATTCCTCAGTAAAGGTCCAACGAGAGCTGAAAGCCCTGGAGGAGAGGGTGACTGCTATGTCCCCTATAAACCCGAGGGATGGGCCTTCCCTCCCCACCCCATCCCCAGCTCCTTTTCTCTCTCTGGCCAGACCCTTTTGAATTTTCCCCTCCCCTCAAACTCTGGGTGGGGGTTGGGGCAGGGAACAGTGATGAAGGAGCAGCCCTAAGTCCAGACAGCAGGGAAAGCCTTCGTGGTCCTGTCCATAAAAGGCTTTTCCCACTGGTTCTCCACCAGCAGCACAGCCCCGCCCCACTCGCTCCATTTCCAAAGCACGCAGAGAATGTTTCAGGCAGGCCCGGCAGACTGCTCCAACTTGGTGTCTTTCCCCAAATATGGAGCCTGAGTATGGAGTCACTGGGGGGCCTGGGGGTGGGGAACAGAGCCCATTTCCTCTAAGGGGGGGGGCGTGGGAGGAGGGGGAGGGGGGAAGCTGACATCATCACAGCAGCGGGCCTTTAAACCCCTCATCCAGACAGCGCCCATCCTGTCTGTCCAAGTCCAGGCAGAACTGACTTCTTCCTGCGAGCTCTGAGGAGCCCCTGTAAGTGCTTCTGTCCCAGGCTTGGAGGGAAGTTGGGTTGGAACTTGACATGAGCAGTGGGTGTATTACAGGCAGGAATGGGGCAGCCCACCTGCTTAGTCAGTGTGCATTCCTAGTCTCCAGATGAGGAGGTGGTCCTACCAGACGGGTGGAATGGGATTGGTAGAATCTCATATTGCTCAGATAGGGCAGCTTTGGGTCCATTGAAATGCTCGGGATGACTTGGTTGGTGAAGAGGGATTAAGGGCAGAAACCGAACTGGAGCGAGAGGGGGTGTGAGAGGATCAGTGTTGTCGGGTTAGACTCGGGCTCTGTTCTCCATTGTCGGTCATGGAGGATGTCCAAGAAGGTGAGGAGGTGTGTGAGGACACCAGTGCTGGAGGGCAGTATCCCACTGTTGAGTCCCCAAAAGCCTGAGAAGCATGGCAGAGCCTCTGGGCAGCCCCTGAGGCAGTGGAATGGACCACCAAACCCTTGTATTCTGAAACAGGCAGGGGTGGCAGGGTGCAGGGATAGGTGAGAGAGCTGATTTTTGGGGTTATGCAGCTCTCTCCAAACACTTGACAGTGGGAGATCACCTCACTACAGGTAGAGGAGTGGGGGCTGGGCACTGCCAGGAGCTTCAACTGATGGCTTGAGTGGCTCAGTCCGAGCTGGGCAGGCCTGGAGCCCTGGGTTTTTCCAGAAGGGTCTGGCTGGTTCCCCTCAGGGGTTACTATTCAAAGGGTAGCAGAGTAGGACAGCTCGTCTCTGTCCCTGGACTTTAGATGAGCCGTGTCTCCTGCCATCTCAGATCCACAGGTGCTCCCTCCTACTTGCTGTGTTTTAAAGAGAGGGGGCATGGCAATCCTGGAGAGGCCCCTGGTTCTGCTGGTTTTTTTCAGGTCCCTGCTGGTAGGTGCCCCCTGACCCTTTGCAGCAGCTCTCCCTTCTCCACAGCAGCTCCAAGCTGAGGCTGGGGAGGTCTGTATCAGAGGCCTTGGAGGGATTTCTTGGAACTCGGCACTGTCCAGTGCTTCTCCAGGAGGGAGCAGGGTAGGGTTGGAGGTGTGTGCATTTCATTCCCACCCTGCCCCCACCATTCTGATCGAATGTGAATATTGTCTCTAGATTTAGAGGCTGCAGTTTTTGTGGCCTTGCCACTGTGAGCCTTGATACATGGGCTGTGAGTCTCTTGAGACTGAGAGCTGGGGGGTGAGGGGCACTCTGCTTGAGTCTGGGTGCTTGGACCCCAGGGAGATGTGCCACCTTCCGGGATGGAGAGTGAAGCTGAAGTGGGGAGGAAGGAGGCAGGGGTGCAGACCGAGCTGAAATCACTTGCCCCTGCTGACTGGTAGGTTCTGACTACTGTGATTTGCCCAGGAGCACTTGGGTGAGGGGGGCACACTGCTGAGGCACAAAGTGGGGTGGGGAAGGGAGCTTGCTGTTTGTATCCAATGGGAGGGGGTGGGGGGTGCTCAGAGAACACTGTCCTCAGAGGTGGCCCTGCCCTCACTTGACAAATAAGGAAACAGACCCGGAGAGAAGTGAGTTGCCCAGCCTCTAGAATTTAGCTGAATCCATCTTGTGTTCTTTCTTTCAAACTTTGTTGTCCTCTCAGGACACAATTTGGAGAAAGGGTGGAGGCTGGAGTGGGAAGGACACTTACTGTGTTTTACCTCTCAGCCAGGGTCTGGCTCTCCCAGGCCACTTTCAGGAGACCAGCCTGGGGAGGCAGGCAAAAGACCGATATTTCGAGGAGCCCTGTGGAGGGACAGGCAGCATGTTAGGTTGTCACAGACAGTGTCTCATGGAGTGTTCACAGTCCTCCGAGGTCGATACCATCAACCTCACTGCGCAGGTGAGGAACTCGAGCCCAGAAAAGTTGTCAGCTGTGGGGAAAGGAAGGGAAGGGCAAATGGAGTTTGGCAGCAGGCCTGGGATGGCCCTGAAGTGCTAATGTTCACTCTGCTTCCCACAGTGGTGGGTGTGCAGAGGGTCTCAATTCCCAACAAGAGAGGGAGTTGAGGGAACATGCCGACTACCTGCATCTTCAGACTGTCCTCTCCTCAACTTCTGACCTCTCTGAGGCTAGTGATGGGTTTGGCCTCATTTGGTACCTCTTCGCATGAACTCTGGGCACCACCTCAGGGTGACTCCAGTGGCCAGATTAGGTTCCTCTGGAGCAACCATACCCACATTTGCACAGCACCCTACTTTTCTGGCCCAGCTCATGCAGTCTTTCCCTTCCATTAGTGGGGTTCTCCTGAGCAGGACCAGCCCCAGGTCCTCAGGGCAGCAGCTGCTGTTTGTCTAGACAGGCAGATTCTTGGCTCTGGGATTTCCATGGAGGACTCTGGCTTCTTAGTTACTCAAGTTAGTGCAGTGGTGAGACTGGGCACGAGGGGCATCCATGGGTATACCAGTACATCTCTCTCTCTGTCTCATCTCATCTGGCTCCCCTGAGGAAATGCAATGTCTTGGCCAAAGGCTCCTAGATTCACTGTCTTCTAGACCTTGCCAGGGATGGATAAGTTTGAGCCTTTTTGGCTACAGGTCAGAGTCCGAGCTGATCTGGAAAAGCACTAGAGTTTTGGAGTTCCAGCATCTGGGCTAGAGAAAAAAGGTAGGGGGAAGTAAGAGATGGAGGCAACTCCATAACTTGAGGTGCAGCCAATAAACCACCTCATGCCCAGTAGGACAGACTCCTGTTGGTTTGTTTGGAGGGTGTGGTGGCATGTAGCCTCTTTCAGAAGGCCTCTCCAGGACCTCTGTGGCCACTCTTGGCAAAGAAAGAATGCTCTGGAATGAGAGTTGTTAAACTGGCCTATGGGCTAAATGGAGACTGTCGTCTGTGTAAATAAAGTTCTGTTGGAACAAAGCTGTGCTCATGTATTGTCTAAGGCTGCTTTTGTGGGACAATGACAGAGACCATATGGCCTACAAAGCTTAAAATACTGTCTGGTCACTTACAGAAAAGTTCACTGAGCCCTGCTCTAGACTGCCAAAGAGCTGGTCTCCTGTTGCTCTGGTCTCCAAGTTTGGAGAGGCCCCTACGACTGAGGGGATGAGCCTGGCCCAGATGAGCAGTGCTGTGAGAACGGAATCAGGGACCCAGGGGAGAAAGACAACATCTAGAGTGGCTGGGCACCACAGAGCTGGATCTGCCTGATGCAAGTGAAAGCAAAGCTGTTTTCTAACCCTCTGATCTCTCTCTTCCCTGGCTGCTGCTGCTTAAGCTCTCCCCAAACATGGCCAACAAGGGACCTTCCTATGGCATGAGCCGTGAAGTGCAATCCAAAATTGAGAAGAAGTATGATGAGGAGCTGGAGGAGCGGCTGGTGGAATGGATTATAGTGCAGTGTGGCCCTGATGTGGGCCGCCCAGACCGTGGGCGCCTGGGCTTCCAGGTCTGGCTGAAGAATGGTGTGGTAAGTGGCATTCTGGGAAGGGTTTGGGGCTGTGCCATCCTGCCAGAATTGTGGGGCAGGTACCCCAGCCAAGTGCTACGCTGCATTGTATGCCCGGCAGATTCTGAGCAAGCTGGTGAACAGCCTGTATCCTGATGGCTCCAAGCCAGTGAAGGTGCCCGAGAACCCACCCTCCATGGTCTTTAAGCAGATGGAACAGGTGGCTCAGTTCCTGAAGGCAGCTGAGGACTATGGGGTCACCAAGACCGACATGTTCCAAACTGTTGACCTCTTTGAAGGTACAGAGCAAAGGGGTGGAGGAGGCAGGTGAAGGAATGACCCCAAAGATGGGTGTGTATAGCAGGAATGGGCTATGCGAACGGAAGACCACACCGCACTCACAAGGGCATACCATGGGACCTCCCTTGATTCTGGGCCCTTTCATTCTGGGATAACCTTTGCCTTTGATTGGTCCTTTTTCTGAAGTGGGATCTGGCCCTGCCCTGGGAGTCTTCTTTATACAGTCCTGAGAGTTGTCTGCCCGACCTCTTTCTTCCCACAGGCAAAGACATGGCAGCAGTGCAGAGGACCCTGATGGCTCTGGGTAGCTTGGCAGTGACCAAGAATGATGGGCACTACCGTGGAGATCCCGGCTGGTTTATGAAGTATGTGGCTACTCAACACTTGGGTCTCTGCATGAGAAGGGAGGTGGCCTTGGCTTACCTGTCAATGTAATAGCTAGGAAGGTATGAAGGTCTCTGAGAGGGGGAGATGGGTCCCTAGTAGTTCTTGACTCCTCCCTTTCTACCCTACCGTGCTCATCCAGTCTCCCTTGCCTGAAGGACACAGTAGTCATGAATAAGAAAAGCGAAAGGCATCAGGCTAGGAAGTAACAGAGCGAAGAGAAAACAGGTGAAAAACACCCAGTCCTGGCAAGTTTTTGTCCCGATTCCTCCTCTTCTAGGAAAGCCCAGGAGCATAAGAGGGAATTCACAGACAGCCAGCTGCAGGAGGGAAAGCACGTCATTGGCTTACAAATGGGCAGCAACAGAGGAGCCTCCCAGGCTGGCATGACGGGTTACGGAAGACCCCGGCAGATCATCAGTTAGAGGATGAGGGCCAGCCCCCAGCCCCACCCTTCCCCAGCTCAATGGCTGCAGCCGTCCTGCCTAGCCCACCTTACCCACACATGTGTAGTTCTTCAGCCCCAGCCAAGTTTCCAGGCTCAGAGGCTCCATCACTGAGCAAAGGGGACTGTGCTTGGGCAACTCCCCCCGACCCGACCCCTCGGCCTGACTTCTGACCCCAAACACTGCTCCCCAGACCTCTTCCTAGCTCCCTCGCCATCTCTACTGTCTCTCCCCATCCTGGGCTGAGCAGGGGGGGTTTGGGCTGGGGGTGGCCTGGGTGTGGGGCACGTCCTCTGTCCTTGGCAGCACATGCCCATTGAAGGAGACCCAGCCCAAACTCCCTCCAATTTTTGCTGGAAATTTTGGGGGTTGAAATTCAAAATGGAAAAAAATACATTAATCTTTTCTCAGGCCTGCCTGGCAGAGTTTGATTTGCCCTAGTCACTTCTGTGTGGTTCTGGGATATAGGAGCGTGGGAGGGGACCATCTGCACGGTCCTGGCCAACGTCCTCTGGAGAACCCCTTGCATTCCAGGATTCCAGGACAGGAAGGGGGTCAGATTCTTTCAGAAGACCAGGCAGTGGAAGAGGAGAGTGGATCTCAGGGGTTGCTGGAAAGGAGGAATGACCTGGCAACTTGCCCTAGCAGAGAAAAGGAGATGGGCAACAGCAGAATTGTGTGGAAGGTTTTTATTTTGGAAAAGCTGTGCAGAAAAAAAGTCAATGAAAGTTGCTGTGGAAACAGAAAACCAAACCTTGAGTATTAAAAACAAATACAAATCAACCAAGCAGCTCAAAAGAGGGGAGGAGGCCAAGAATGGAAAGAAAGAGTCACAGCCTGTCAGGCAGACAGCTGGCCGCAGCTGGGTAAGGCCATTTCCCTGAGCACTTTTCAGAGGAAGATAGGGTGGTCACAGGGCTGGAGTTGACAGTGGATGGCACCTGTCACAGTCCTGTGCAGACTCCCCTAGTGAAGCAGCACACCCCTGGGGCCCATGCCCACTCCCAGCTTTGCCAGGAGCATCGTACTGACCCTTGAGGATGAAGGGAGCGAGGTGATGGGGAAGGAGTCGGGGGTATGTTCATGGTTGGCTTCTGATGAGGAAAAACGGAGGCAGCTGCTTTTAGGGCAGTGCGCCAGGCTGAGGGCCGACTGCCATACCAGTCCGTCCAAGGTCCAGGCTCAGGCAGGAAGGTGAGGGAGAAGAAAAGTCTGCTGTTTCCCTGTCCTGGGTCATTAGGACAGGCACATCCAGGGGCTCTTCCCCACCTCACCTCTCAAGTTCTCTTCCCAAGTGACTCCAGCAGTGTTTCTGCTGAGATGCTCTTTTGGCCGGGCAGGCACCTTCACCTTCTCACCATGCACACATGGGGCAGGGTCTCTATGGCCCACACCGCTGACTTGCCCCGCAGAAATGAGGATAGAGGCCTGCCCAACAGGAGACGGGGGGCCAATCCCTTGTCTAAGGCCTTTTCACCCAAAGCCCCTGTTCAGCTAGAAAAAGATCCTGTGGCTGTTGTCACACGGTTCTCTGGTGCCTTGCCTTTGCCACTTGTACCTGCAGAAAGCCCTGGCCCTCCCTGAGCAGTCAGAGGGTGCTCTTTAGCCTTTGGATTTCAGATGTAAGCATCAGGAAGCCTTTTCTCCAGGGCTCCTGGGACTTCGGAGCAGCTTTCCAAGCTTCCCAAAACTGGGGAAGGAAGAGCCTGTCTCACGCTGGGTCTGTCAGGCACTGGGTCAGCAAACGTGCTCCTCCTTCCCCTGCAATAGGTCTGGAGACAGGTGGTGATGAGTGCAGTCCGGGGCACTACTGTGCTGGGACCGGCTCCAGTCCCCCTGATCTAGCAGGTCTGGGCAGAGGAGACCAGAGGCAGGGGGCGGCCCTTCATTTTCTGTCTCCACTCCATCTGGATCCTTGTTGCTGCAAAGCGGCACTGATTCCAGTTCTATCCCCTCCTCCCTGGCTTTTCGGCTTCTCTGGGGCCAGGGGCAGGATTCACTCCTACAAATCGAGTGAGAGGCCACATTCCTCTGGCTCAGGTACACTTCCAGCATATAGTAAACAGTCCAGAAGATGGTAAAACAGCCGACCAGCACCAGGGTCTGGGAGGAAAGTCCACCACCTGAGTTAGGGACAGTTTCCCAAAGCCTGTAGCCTTGCTTAGCCCAGAACAGTGAGTTCTAAAAGTCTCTCTCCCACTAGGGACTGCCTCTCCCATCCCAAACCACTCACCTACCTACATAACAAACACCCTCTGAGAGCTAGCTAGCAGAGGGCACCCCAGTCTTCACACCACCTCTTTCCCCATCACCTGGAGTATCCCACCAAGGACCAACTCCACTAGTACCCTCCCCCTGCCTCTCGTGTGAGTCTTAGCTCTAGTACCTTGAGGGTGTTAGGGGTAATGGTGTAACCTTCTTCCTCAGGAATTTTCAGCCCTGGAGGGCAGGGCAGAGTGAAGCCATCATGCAGGTACTGTCCGTTCATGGCACCTTCTAATACTCTGTGGAGAAGAAAAGAAGCAGGGTGACCTTGGTGAACTTGGTACCATCTGCCCTTCCCCACCCTCCCTGCTTATAGCTGAAGAGAGGGAAGCCCCATGACAAAAAGGAGAGGGCACTCTGTGGGTTCCCAGAGAGGTAGCGCGTCTCAAGTGGCCTCCTTCCCTCTGACAAGTGTGTCCACACCTACCTTTGTCTCTCTCTGATGTCTCCTGCACTCCACATAGAACCATACAGGGTCAGCTGCCACTGCCGGAGGGTGCCAGCCGGGAGCATCTCATCTCCTAGGCGGCAAGTGAGGTAGTCCCTAAGCCATGCCTTCTGCTGGCCTTGCAAACAGCAGAGGCTCTGCCTGCCCACCCCACAGAGGGACTGGACCACAAGGGCTGCTGCAGGAGCTGTGTACCACTGAGCCTAGGGTTTGACAGTCTGTCTCACAGGCCCCACTCAGGGGTGGAAAGGGAAAGGTTGAAAGGTGGCATTCCAAAGCACAGAAGTTTTGCCTTTATCTCTTTCATATTTTGGGGTTTCAGCAGGGATTTTGCTAGGGGGGGAAAAAAAAGTCCTCCTACTAAATTAAATGTTTGAAAACCACCAGTCTAGTGAATACCTAACTTGATGGGAAGTTGGGAGGGTTGGGTTCAATTTCCGGGCTCCTCACTCAAATACTCTGTCACCTTACAGAAGTCACTTCAAATCTCTAGGTGGGCCTGTTTTTAAAAAATAATGATGAAAACTAGTCCTGCCCTCATCTGCCTACCAGGGCTAGCCAAAGGAAGGTTATATGGGAAAGGACTTGAAATGTGGTTTCAACAAGGAATTTTCATTGCTATCCTGAGGAGAAATGGATCAGCCACTTCTCCGAGGAGAGGAGTTGTATAAATGAACCATTTTAGATATCAGCACCCATTTTTTGAATGGGGCTTAGTTTTTGGTATCTACCCTGCTAGCCCAATGGCAACCCTAAATATTACACATGGGATAGTTTCTGTGGGGACTCAGATCCAGAGTGACCAGATAATAATCATGCAAGGCAGGGCCCTGATGGGAGGGTGGGCAGGCTTACCTACGTCCCTGACAATGAGTCTGTAAGACCCTCTTGCCCTTTCCCCCCAGCATCGCACAGTGGAGAAGGTCCAATCATCGAAGCCATTGGGATCCCTGGGGGAGAAGAACAGAGTAGAAGACCTGGAAGCCATGGAGAATGTTTCATGGGCTGACCCTGTTGCCCAGAAACATTCTTTTTCTTACTGTAGTAGCCATAAAAATGTAGCAGCTGTTGCCTGAGCTACAGCCATTTGGGAGGGTGCCATGAGGGGTCCTCACATGCGGCCCCTTGCCCTGGGATCTCATGTGATGAGGGACTTACATCAGTGTGCTAGTGGAAAAAGCAAATATGGAGCAGGCACTGCCTGGGCAGTCCAACAGATAGGTTTATTGTTACTTTCTGGGGCACTTCCTAGCTCTGTGACTCATTTCCTCATTTGTGAAAGGCAGTTCCAAAGGTACTCTGCATGGTTCTTATAAGGACTAGAGAAAATACTTGTAAAATGCGGTGCTTAGCACATTGTCAGTCCTCACACTCAACCTGTAACAAACGGCTTGCAGTTGCCAAGGCCAGCCAGTGCCGTGGTGACTTAGGGCAGCATCAGTGTCCAATGCTCAATTCCTTGAAAAGGCCCTTGTTGCAAAGAGAGCTCAGAAGGTACGGGCAGGTATACGTACGAGTCCATGCTGCGGGGGGGGCCGATAAGGGACATCATGCCGCTGGGGCAAGAGAGTTTCAGTTCTAAGTTGCCACGTCGTGGGTGGGTGATGGACACTGTCACTGCCACGTGCTCCAGGGTCCTCAGCCCCGACATCTCCAGGTCCATCCTGCTGACTGTAGGAGGTCAGGCTGGGCGGTTGGGAAACCAGCCCCATAAACACACCCTTACTTCATTCCAGCACACCCAAGGCACATGCTCATTGAGGCCACAAAGGAAGTCCCACATCAACTCCGAGTGGCACCTGGTGTGCACAAAGTAAGTGGAATGCAGTGGCTGCTTCCAAGTACTTTACAATCTACTTTAGAGTCTAGTTGGGAAGACAACACTAAAGACACAGTTATAAGAACCAAATCGTGGACTTCAACCGCTCATTCATCCAAAAAAATAATTTACCAAGTACCTCCTACATTTCGGGAATGTACTAGATGCTGGGAATATAAGCTAAGGTGGACATGGTCTCTGCCTTCTACATGCAAGTGCAGAATGATACGGCATGAGGTACACATGACTGATACTAAAACAGAGATATCTGATGGTTTCAGCAGGCAGTAGCGAGGTGCTCTGAAGAAGAAAATGAGTGTTGACTGGTAGAGAGGGTGGCAAAGGGCATTCTAGAAGGGGGAATGGTAGGTACAAAGGCAGAGGTGGAAATGAACTAGTTTCATAAAGAATTTTTTAAAAGACTACTAAAGTAAAGAAATTCAAGGAAATTATGCTGATTATAAAAAACCAAAATTAAGAGGATACATAATGTATGGTTCATTTATATAACAGTCACACATAACACAACTGCAGAGATGGAGACCAGGCTTTAGGGATGGGTCAGAGGGGTGGGTGTGGCCAGAGGGTGGCCCTGTCGAGACTGTCCTGGGTCTCGGTTGTGGTCATGGCTACGCACGGCAATACATGGTGAGGCTGTACACACGCACGAGTGCAGGTCCAGCTGGTGAGATACAAACAAGCTGAAAGCTCTCTGGATCTCACCAATGTCATTTTCTTGGTTTTGATATTGTACTATAATTATTTAGGACATTAATATAAACAGAAGGGTACCTGGAACTTCTCTGAACATTTCTTTGCAACCTCCTGTGAATCTAAAATTACTTTAAAATAAAAGTAGTTGAATAAAAATGACAACAAAAAAACTCTTACAATTCTTGGTAAGATGTTGGTAGAAATCCATCTGGACTTCTGTGTATGTATATGTGCATGGGTATATTTTCTTTAATTCCATCTGTAAACTCTACAAAGTCAATGTCCCACCTTCTCTGAAAGCAACACCCTGTCCTTCTACCTTCATTACTCCCACCTTAATCTCTGCATTGTCTTGCTCTTCAAGAAATCCATCAAGCTCCTCCTTCCAAACCCCACAGTTTAGACCCCACAGCTCATCTCTCCAACACTCTCTTAGTACCCTCTCAGCCTCTCTTTGCTTTCTTTTCCTTTCACAGTAACTATCTGGCAGAAGTCCAAAGCTAGATCAACCCAATTATCCCTTTCCTTGGCTAGATCCTCTTGCTTAGTCTTTGCTATTACAAATGAAAAAATGAGACAAGAACAAATAAACCCTTTCTTAACTCTTCACTGTCTTCTACCTAGTGTTAAGAGCTGGGACTCTGGAAACATCCAGCCTAGGTTCAAATCCCACTCTGCCATTTACTATGAGAATTGGATTAGTTTCCTTAGCTTGGGGTAGTAACAGGACTTACTTCATAGAGTGGATAAATTAGTTAATAATCATAAAGTAATTAGAATAGTACTCAGCCCTGGCTGGTGTGGCTCAGTGGATTGAACGCTGCCCTGTCAACCAAAGGATCGCTGGTTCGATTCCCAGTCAGGGCACGTGGCTGGGTTGCAGGCCAGGACTCTAGTAGGGGGTGCGCGAGAGGCAGCCACACACTGATGTTTCTCTCCCTCTCTTTCTCCCTTCCTCTCTCTAAAAATAAATAAATAAAAATCTTTTAAAAAAGAATAGTACCCAGTAAATGTTAAGATTATATAAGTAAATAGATAGTCCTTTTCTTTGCTGTTAAAACTTCTTGAAAAAGATATCTATACTCACTATCTCTACTTTTTACCCTCCCATTCATCCTTACCCTTTTTTTCTATCACAATAGTTAATGTACATGGTTTTTAAAAGTAAACTGGTTCTTTGAGAACTTTTGAATATATTTGAACATACCCAATGTCGTCTGGCTTCCAGAGTTTCTGCTGATAAGTCAAAAGCTTGTTTATTTGGCTTCTCTTATAAGTAAGGAGCCATTTTCCTCTTGCTATTTTCAAAATTTTCTCATCTTTGACCTTCAGCATTTTATTTATTTATTTTTTAAAGATTTTACTTATATTTAGAGAGGGGCAGGGAGGGAGAAAGGGAGGGAAACATCAATGTGTGGTTGCCTCTGGTGCATCCCCTGCTGGGAACTGGCCTGTAACCCAGGCATGTGCCCTGACTGGGAATCAACCCAGAGACCCTTTGGTTCACAGACCAGTGCTCAATCCACTGAGCTATACCATCCAGGGCCCTTATTTTATTTTAAAGTATTTTTATTGATTATGCTATTACAGTTTCCCAATTTTTCCCCCTTTATCCCCTACTCCACCCTGCCCCCCCAACCCTCCTGTATTCCCCACCCCCCTTAGTTCATGTCCATGGGTTGTACATATAAGTTCTTTGAGTCCTCTCTTTCCTATACCAATTTTTATGTTTCCCCGTGTATTTTGCACCTACTAATTATGCTTCTTCTTCCCTGTACCTTTTCCCCCCATTCCTCCCTTTCCCTTCCCCACTGAACTCCCTCTGTGTGATGTCCATTTCTCTGATTCTGTTCCTGTTCTAGCTGATTCCTTAGTTTTTGTTTTCATTGTTTTTCTTTTCTTATTAGGTTAATTTATTGATAGTTATGAGTTTGTTGTCATTTTATTGTTCATATTTTTTATCTTCTTTTTTCTTAGATAAGTCCCTTTAATGTTTCATATAGTAAGGGCTTGGTAATGATGAACTCCTTTAACTTGACCTTGTCTGGGAAGCACTTTATATTCCCTTTCATTCTAAATGACAGCTTTGCTGGATAGAGTAATCTTGGATGTAGATCCTTGCTTTTCATGACTTCGAATACTTCTTTCCAGCCCCTTCTTGCCTGTAAGGTCTCTTTTGAGAAATCAGCTGATAGCCTTATGGGAACTCCTTTGTAGGTAACTGTCTTCTATTCTCTTGCTGCATTTATGATTTCCTCTTTGTCTTTAATCTTGGGTAACTTAATGATGATGTGCATTGGTGTGTTCCTCTTTGGGTCCAACTGCTTTGAGGCTCTCTGGGCTTCCTGGACTTCCTGGAAATCTATTTCCCTCTCCAGATTGGGGAAGTTTTCCTTCAAGTAAGTTTTCAATTTCTTGCTGTTGTTCTTCTCCTTCTGGTGCCCCTATAATTTGGATATTGGAACATTACAGGTTGTCCCAGAGAGTCCTCAGCCTCTCTTCATTTTTTTTCAATTCTTGTTTCTTTATTCCGATACAGTTGGATGTTTACTTCTTCCTTTTGTTCCAAATCATTGCTTTGAATCCTGGTTTCCTTCTTGTCACTGTTGATTCTCTGAATATTTTGCTTTATTTCATTTTGGGTATCTTTCATTCATTCTTTCATTTTTTGAACAAACTCAATCAGTTCTGTGAGCATTTTGATTACCAGGGCTTTAAATTCTCCATCAGTTAGGTTGGCAATGTCCTCATTGCTTAGTTCCGAGGTTTTGCTGTGTTCCTTCATTTGGGCCCTATTTCTTTGTCTTGGTGCCCCTGATAAGTTGTAAGGGGCAGAGCCTTAGGTATTCACACAGTCAGGGCAACCCTCTTTGCGGCACTGTCTGTGGGGGAGGGGCCAGAGAGGGAGCAATGCAGCTACCTGCTTGTCTCTAGCACACTTTCCAACAGACTCTTGAGTCAGACTGGAAGTATCTCTCATTGTGGCAACCCCAGCCATAGCCCACAGTCAGCTCTGAGTCTCAGCTCTAAGTTTCCCCCTTAAGTCAGTCCCTCCTGCGCAGCTCCACTCCTCAGCCACCTTGCAGCAGTTTTTCTGAGTTGCCTTCCCTGTGGTGTCTGCCTTACCAGTCTGGTGGTTCTGGTTGATTATTTTTTAATTCCCTGGTTGTCGGGGTTCCTTGCAGTTTGATTTTCTGGTACTTCTGGTTGTTTATTGATTTTAGATTGGTTGTTATCCTCCTCTTGGTTGTGAGAGGAAGTGAAGGGTTTCTACCTACACCTCCATCTTGGCTGGAACTCCATGAATGTTTCATTTTAGTCATACTTTTCAACTACAGAACTTCTACTTGGTTCATTTTTTATAATTTCTATCTTTTTATTGATTATTTGATGCAACATTATCATCAAACCTTTCTTTACTTCTTAATCGTGGTTTCTCATCTTTTTTTTTTACATGTTTATAATGGCCATTTTAAAGTCTTTTTCTGAAAAATGCAAGATCTGGTCAATCTCACGGGCAATGCTATCAACCAAGAGTCCCATAGTCCTGCAAAGCTATTCTTCAAAAATGAAGGCACAACAGACAGTTCTAGATAAATAAGAACTAGGAGAAGTTGTTGCCAGCACACTCCTTACAGTATATACTGAATCAAGTTCCTTCAAATTCAAAGAAAAAATGAAAGCACCAATAAATGTAATTGTGTCCCTACAGATGACAGTTTAAATGAATAGTATTTCAGTCTTTGAACTGATTTAAGAAGCAATAACATACTATAATATGTACACAATGTACACAGGAATGTGCTGTATAAAGGAGGTCAGTGGGCACAAGCCGGTCCTGGGCTGAGAAAATGGCTGCAGAAGGTAAAGTAGTCATGACAGTGTATTACTGGGTTTGTAACAACAGACATACTGTTTATAACAACACACAAAAGCAGTGGGTAAAGAAAACAGACCTATACAGGAGTAACATTTCTGTATCTCTGGTATTAAGCTGGTACAAATCAGAAGCTGATTCTTTTGTTATGATGCATGTATTAACCTAGAGCAACCAGTGGGGAAAAAAAGTAAACTGGTTCTGGGGTGCTTATAATATAAACAAGCAGCTCCCTACCCCATTCCTCATCATCTTGGTCAT